TCAAGGTATACAACATCGCAATCCTTACCACTATCAACTGCCTCAACAATGCTAGAATAAAAAGATAACAAATTTGTTAAACATGAACGGCCATTTATAAAACCATGTTGCGACTCAATTATTAATTTATGTTTTTCAAGATGAAGACGAATTTTATTTGCTATTATAGATTCGAGTAACTTTCCCACAATAGACGTTAGGCTAATTGGTCGATAGTTAGACGCAAGTGATCTATCTCCTTTCTTAAAAACTGGTATCACATTAGCAACTTTCCAAAACTCTGGCACTCTGCCTGACTCTATTGATTTATTAAATATGGTTGACAGTGGGTCACAAAGCTCCTCTTTGCATTCTTTAAGCACCCTGGCAAACACTTCATCCGGCCCTGGGGATTTGTTTGGTTTGAGTTTTACTATTTGTTTAAGAACATCCTCCCTGGTAACTGCTAAACTAGTCAACCTGTCCTCGTCCCCACCCACATAGACTTGTTCAGCTGAAGGCATATTGTTAAGTTCCTCTTTAGTAAATAAATTAAATTAATTAATTAAATTAATTAATTAATTAAATAAATTAATTCCTGATACTGCCTAATCACCGCCAAACACTCCCCCAATCACTTCCTGATACTGTCCAATCACCTCCAAACACTCCCCCAATCACTTCCTGATACTGCCCAATCACGGCCAAACACTCCCCAATTACTTCCTGATACTGCCCAATCACCGCCAAACACTCCCCCAATCACTTCCTGATACTGCCCAATCACCTCCAAACACTCCCCCAATCACTTCCTGATACTGCCCAATCACGGCCAAACACTCCCCAATTACTTCCTGATACTGCCCAATCACCGTCAAACACTGCCCCAATCACTTCCTGATACTGCCCAATCACCAAACACTGCCCCAATCACTTCCTGATACTACCCAATCACCACCAAACACCGCCCTCAATCACCACCAATCACTGCCCCAATCACCACCAAACACTGCCCCAATCACTTCCTGATACAGCCAAATCACCACCAAACACTGCCTTCAATCACTAGACCCAATCACCACCAAACACGGCCCCAATCACCACCAAACACCGCCACAATCACCACCAAACACCGCCCCAGTCACCACCAAATACTGACCAATCACCAAACACTGCCCCAATCACCACCAAACACTGCCCCAATCACCACCAAAAACCGCCCCAGTCACCACCAAATACTGACCAATCACCAAACACTGCCCCAATCACCACCAAACACTGCCCCAATCACCACCAAACACCGCCCCAATCACCACCAAACACCGCCCCAGTCACCACCAAATACTGACCAATCACCAAACACTGCCCCAATCACCACCAAACACTGCCCCAATCACCACCAAACACCGCCCCAATCACCACCAAACACTGCCCCAATCACCACCAAACACTGCCCCCAATCACCACCAAACACTGCCCCAATCACCACCAAACACTGCCCCCAATCACCACCAAACACTGCCCCCAATCACCACCAAACACTGCCCCTAATCACCATCAATCACTGCCCCAATCACCGCCAAACACTGCCTTAATCACCACCAAACACCGCCCCAATCACCACCAATCACTGCCCGAATCACCATCAAGCACTGCCCCAATCACTACCAAACACCGCCTCAATCACCACGAAACACTACCCCAATCACCACCAAACACTGCCCCAATCACCACCAAACACTGCCCCAATCACCACCAAACACCGCCCCAATCACCACCAATCACTGCCCCAATCACCACCAATCACTGCCCCAAAGACCGCACCAATCACCACCAATCACTGCTCCAATCATTGCCCCAATCACTACCAAACACCGCCCCAATCACCACCAATCACTGCCCCAATCACCACCAATCACTGCCCCAAAGACCGCCCCAATCACCACCAATCATTGCCCCAAACACCGCCCCAATCACCACCAATCACTGCCCCAAAGACCGGCCCAATCACCACCAATCACTGCCCCAATCACCACCAAACACCGCCCCAATCACCATCAATCACTGCCCCAATCACCACCAAACACCGCCCCAATCACCATCAATCACTGCCCCAATCACCACAAAACACCGCCCCAATCACCACCAATCACTGCCCCCAATCACTACCAAACAGCTATCGTGTTCGACTCGACAATAAAAGCCAACAAAAGACCTTAAAAAAAAGGCGAAATTGAAAACCAATAAGCCGTCTAAGACTCATTAATTGGCTTTCCGGTTAAGGGGTTGGCAGGAGGCCGGATAAACGAGGATTACCGGCCATCCGAGATGGAGAAAAATACCCGAAAATCTCTTTCTCTCTCGAAGCCCACAATACGTCAAATTTGAAGCGGTTAATACGTCAAATTTGAAGCGGTTAATACGTCAAATTTGAAGCGGTTATTACGTCAAATTTGAAGCGGTTAATACGTCAAATTTGAAGCGGTTAATACGTCAAATTTGAAGCGGTTAATACGTCAAATTTGAAGCGGTTATTACGTCAAATTTGAAGCGGTTAATACGTCAAATTTGAAGCGGTTAATACGTCAAATTTGAAGCGGTTAATACGTCAAATTTGAAGCGGTTAGTACGTCAAATTTGAAGCGGTTAATACGTCAAATTTGAAGCGGTTAATACGTCAGATTTGAAGCGGTTAATACGTCAAATTTGAAGCGGTTAATACGTCAGATTTGAAGCGGTTAATACGTCAGATTTGAAGCGGTTAATACGTCAAATTTGAAGCGGTTAATACGTCAGATTTGAAGCGGTTAATACGTCAGATTTGAAGCGGTTAATACGTCAGATTTGAAGCGGTTAATACGTCAAATTTGAAGCGGTTAATACGTCAGATTTGAAGCGGTTAATACGTCAAATTTGAAGCGGTTAATACGTCAGATTTGAAGCGGTTAATACGTCAAATTTGAAGCGGTTAATACGTCAGATTTGAAGCGGTTAATACGTCAAATTTGAAGCGGTTAATACGTCAAATTTGAAGCGGTTAATACGTCAAATTTGAAGCGGTTAATACGTCAAATTTGAAGCGGTTAATACGTCAAATTTGAAGCGGTTAGTACGTCAAATTTGAAGCGGTTAATACGTCAAATTTGAAGCGGTTAGTACGTCAAATTTGAAGCGGTTAATACGTCAAATTTGAAGCGGTTAATACGTCAAATTTGAAGCGGTTAATACGTCAAATTTGAAGCGGTTAATACGTCAAATTTGAAGCGGTTAATACGTCAAATTTGAAGCGGTTAATACGTCAAATTTGAAGCGGTTAATACGTCAAATTTGAAGCGGTTAATACGTCAAATTTGAAGCGGTTAATACGTCAGATTTGAAGCGGTTAATACGTCAAATTTGAAGCGGTTAATACGTCAGATTTGAAGCGGTTAATACGTCAAATTTGAAGCGGTTAATACGTCAGATTTGAAGCGGTTAATACGTCAAATTTGAAGCGGTTAATACGTCAAATTTGAAGCGGTTAATACGTCAAATTTGAAGCGGTTAATACGTCAAATTTGAAGCGGTTAATACGTCAGATTTGAAGCGGTTAATACGTCAAATTTGAAGCGGTTAGTACGTCAAATTTGAAGCGGTTAATACGTCAAATTTGAAGCGGTTTTTGGCTGACCCAAAGCGTACAAGGGATTGGGGATTAGATAGGCTGGTCTAATCTGTCGCAGCTTGATCCGGCTTAGTCCGCTTAAGCGGCATTTCAAGCTTAATTTGCCAGGCATTAAGTGTGAGGACAGGGGGGGGAGGGAAGGGAACTATCAGGGTGAAAGCGCCAAGCCATTACGACTATATAGCACTGGGAAGGGGTCAGGATAAGGATTTGGGATGGGACGGAGGGAAAGGAATGGTGTCCCAACCACTTGTGGACGGTCGGGGATTGAACGCCGACCTGCATGAAGCCAGACCGTCGCTCTACCGTCCACCCCAAGTGGTTGGGTAGTGGGGGTGGAAGCTGTTTTATATATATAATAGATTGGAAAAGGGCTGTTTCCAAAAATAGATGTACTAAGTCGATAGAGTTTTCTAGAATGTGTGGATCAATGCAATAGCCTTTTCTAAAATGTGTATATCAATGCGATAGCCTTTTCTAAAATGTGTATATCAATGCGATAGCCTTTTCTAGAATGTGTGGATCAATGCGATAGCCTTTTCTAAAATGTGTATATCAATGCGATAGCCTTTTCTAGAATGTGTTTATCAATGCGATAGCCTTTTCTTAAATGTGTATATCAATGCGATAGCCTTTTCTAGAATGTGTGGATCAATGCGATAGCCTTTTCTAAAATGTGTATATCAATGCGATAGCCTTTTCTAGAATGTGTTTATCAATGCGATAGCCTTTTCTAAAATGTGTATATCAATGCGATAGCCTTTTCTAAAGTGTGTGAATCAATGCGATAACCTTTTCTAAAGTGTGTAAATCAATGCGATAGCCTTTTCTAAAATGTGTAAATCAATGCGATAGCCTTTTCTAAAATGTGTAAATCAATGCGATAGCCTTTTCTAAAATGTGTAAATCAATACGATAGCCTTTTTTAAAATGTGTAAATCAATGCGATAGCCTTTTCTAAAATGTGTAAATCAATGCGATAGCCTTTTCTAAAATGTGTAAATCAATGCGATAGCCTTTTTTAAAATGTGTAAATCAATGCGATAGCCTTTTCAAAAACACATACTGCACCTTTTCTGTCCAAAAGATGCCTTAAATCACTGTGTGAAGCCCCCCCCCCCCCCTCTCTTGAGTAGGGGCCTATCACCCATCCAGGAACTGTGTCGCCTGAACCCCACCCACCTCGTTCTCTGTGCCCCATTTCGAACAGGGCGGCAGTTCAGTACACCCTAAAGTAATGTGTTCGGATGCCGAGTAACGTGTTCGGATGCTGAGTAATGTGTTCGGATGCTGAGTAATGAGTTCGGATGCCGAGTAATGAGTTCGGATGCCGAGGAATGTGTTCGGATGCTGAATAATGTGTTCGGATGCCGAGGAATGTGTTTGGATGCTGAATAATGTGTTCGGATGTCGAGTATTGTGTTCGGATGTCGAGTATTGTGTTCGGATGCCGAGTATTGTGTTCGGATGCCGAGGAATGTGTTCAGATGCCGAGGAATGTGTTCAGATGCCGAGGAATGTGTTCGAATGCCGAGTAACGTGTTCGGATGCCGA